TGACTGATACCATCATATCGATAGTGCCCTCGCAGTCTTGCGCTACAGTGTTTGAGCGGCATCTATCCAGGTTGCTGGATTTGAGCGTTGTGTGCTGGCGGCGTTCGGATAATGCCGCATCAATACCTCGACTGTTTGGTGATGATACAATAGTAATCGTTCACCGCGATGGAGTTTGGAGCGATGGTTCGATAAAAAGGAATGAAAAAATACTCTCCTTTCAGACCACAAGGCAATTTGTCGCTGTTGATTTTTCGATTCTGCGAAGAACTGAAATAGATCTAGTGGTCGAAGGAGCTAAGAGCGCCTAGGATCGTTAAATGTGAAGACATTAGGAGGCTGATTCTTCTTGTTGTAGTAGGTCGTGTATCGGTCTACAACCGCAATGTCCGCAGTGGTAGCGTAATGCTCGTCCACCTTAAGAATTTGGCTGTAAATGCTTTTCGGCTTAATGTCGCTCCTGAACCAACGCTTAAACAACGCCTTCTGGTACTCGGTAGCAGGAAAGGTAACAGTATCCACATTGATCGAATCTAACTGCTTCAGCATCGAAACGATTTTACGTGCGAGAACGCCTTCACCACCGAAGCCATTGCTAACCACTGCGAGCATATCAGTTTTAACTTGGGGGTTCGTAGCCTTGAGTACAGCAACGTACTCGTCCAAGATCTGCAGCTTCGGGTTAATCTCTTCTAGGAAATCATCGATTTTAATCTTCAGCAGCTTATAAACATCGTCGGCTGATTTCTTGCTGGTGAGCCACAACTTGAACTGTTGCATCTGCAGCTTAGAAGCCAGAACTTGTGTAGCCTGGTCAGACCTCAATGAATAGAGAACCTTTGCCAACACACCATCCCCATAATGCGCGGAAAACGTCTCAATCAACGATGTCTTGCTGCTTGGATTCCTTGCGTTGTACATCGAGATGAAAGCTGTCAAAGTATGTAGGTTTTGATTGAAAAGAGCGTCTTTCACGCCACCATCCAGTTTGAGAGTCGTCAGCACACCTTCAGGCTGCATCTTGCTTGCCATCCACTTGTTTAGTAGTGCGTTCTGCAATGCAGTCGCCAGCTCGCTCGTCCGAGAATCATCTTTCGCAAGCACCAGCAACATTGCTAGTTTCTCTTCTCCACCGAAACCCTTCGTTAAAGTCTGGAGCAAAGTTTCATCGCCAGAATTCGTGCGGATAACCAGCTTCATGTAGTCGTCCAACACATCCATCTTCGGACTGGCAAGAGCTGCGTATCCATCCTCGCGAAGCTTTAGCAGCGTGAAAACATTGTCAACAGATTTCTCACTGCTCAGCCAAGCTGATAGTTGATCCTCCCGCAACTGCCTTATCGTAGCCAATTCATCCGTTGTCTTTGCATTACTCTGCGCGGTCACGAGTGCTTTCGCCACTGCATCGTCTCCGTAGTGCGCCGTGAATAATCCAATCACCGACACTTTGTTGTTTGTATTGATCTTGTTTACTTCATGCACATAGGTTTCCATAGCCTTTAAGTTAGAACTGGTTAGAGCTCTTTCCAGTCCATTCTCAAGCTGAAACACCTTTAAAACCTCATCAGCTGGTTGCTCCCCGGTCAACAAGGACTTCCAGTTCACGTTCTTACTGGTTCTCGATGTCCCCACCTTAACCAGACTCGTAAGTTTTTCTATAGCAGCATTCATCATCCTCTCTTCGCTTTTCGTTTCATCTGTTTCGGATTCTCTCAGTACCCTACTGGCGGGGGCACCTACAGGTTTATCAGTTAGCATATGGGTTTTTGTCGGCAAGTTAGCAGTCGTCATGTCCGAGAC